TCAAATATGTTCCATCGTGGGTATTTGTCTTGCTAGACGCGAACATTCCTTTTCAGATCATCAAACTACAAACAAGTCAAAACAAATCGTTTCACTTTCTTCTCTCTATGGCAATTATGTATTCAATCGATGATCATTGCCAAAGTTGTAGTCCAAATGGCTCAGTAGAAAAAGTTCTCCTTATAAGTTCCTTACAATATTCTTAATCGGTTTGTAATCATAATTAATATTCACGGTTGCATTTCCAAATAAGGTTCTACACAGTTCTAGCTCTCCATAACTGCATCTTCATAGTAATTCCTTTTTACTAATCGCAACTGCATTGGATATTCGAAAAAGCAGATCTTTTCTTTTTCGTCAGTAGTTAGAATATGAAAACAAAGCACTGATGCCATGCTACCGATGAAATGTGCCTTAGTCATGGTTACTATACTTTGTAGTCAGGTAAAGAAAGTATGCGATGGCAAATGCCAACAGAACACTGATGGAGAGTATTGCCTTGATGTGTACTGTGTTTTTTAGTGTCGATGATTAACGATTGAGGAAGGATGGATAGGTTGTTTTTGGGAAGTAATGAATATTTGTAATTGTGCAACTTTATATTGTCCATATATACCATGTAGTCTGGAGAGAAAAAAAAGTGTGAAAAAACCACTTCTCAGAAATGATTGAAACGTATCCGTAGTGTCCTTAGTCACATAAAAAAAGAGAAAGTGTTTGATTGGTAAGAAGAACGTTTGAAAGGTTACGTGTTGAACAACAGAACAGCGAAAGAATGATTTTTCTCTTCACAGAGGAGAAAATATTATATTGGCCATGTGCTTGGTAAAGTGGCTAAATGTCGAAGAAAAAATATCGAAAGTAATGACGCCGAAAGTAACAATAGCACTTAGTCATCTCTTTGATTGATGAAAATTTAAGCAAAGAAAATTACAGATCAAACCTTTTCAAAACGTGAATAGATAAAAAAAAAAATTACACGAATAGATTAATCTTTTAAGTACCGTCACGAAACCAAAACCCCTTTTTTAAGCATTTTGATTTTCGAATAGCTCGCGAACGCAAAAAAATATCGAGATTTGATTTTTGCTATAACAAAGATGACAGTTGGAAGAGTATATTTATACGAAAATTCTAATCCCACTCGAACTATTACCTTAACCCTTTGATGCCGGGCGTGGTATAAATTAATGTTGGTGTTGTAACACATGAAATGGTATGTAATAACTTGTAATACTATATCAGCAACTACTACGATGCCTTGTGTGTTCGTGTCTGTCTGAGTTTCCGCCTTCACCCTCACTCAGGCAATACCCCCTGTGTTTGTGCATTCGCGTGTGTTTTTATTTTCATCGCCATCCTTACCCTCAAGATTGCGTGCCAGTACAAACCATTACATTCTGATACATGTCAATACGTAAGGTTGTATATTAGGAAAGACCATTAAAATGGTATTTGTATTGACACAGCTCTGTATGTAAAGAAACAACGTTGGTCTGAGGTATGTAAAACGAACGATGATATTTTTATAAAGACACTCGATAGCAAATTAAAGATAAGGAGGAAAAAACTTCTAATAAGGACGGCATACATTTTCTTTTCTCGTTCTATTCAACATATAATACGTGCACTATGTCGCTCGATTAAAAAAAGTGATGTTTAAGACAAAGAAAAGTTTAAAAAAAGCAGAGATGAAGGTTGAATCGTTGTTCGAAGATGTGCTACTCAATCTATCTAAAGTCTTTTTATTTACTGTTCATCTTCTTTGTATACTTCATGGTCCTACTACTTTCTTAAACCCTCTCTTCTTTATATTCTTTTAAGTTTTATTTCATGTAATTTGGTATAAATAGATGCGCCTACAAATATTAGAATAAAAATAGTTTCATTAACCCTTTGAGTCCGGGATTATTTTTATATAGTAAAAAGGACGCAAGTGGGTTGATGGGCAAATCAGTCCTATAATAATTTTTGGATTCGAAACCCCAACTTTATTATACCAAACGAAAGGGCTCGGCGAGCTGAGCATTTTTTGTGACGAAACTTGATCTTTTAAATGAAACCATGGAAGGTTCTCAGTAAGCTAACTTGTAAAATTTTAATCATTTTAGTCATTGTCCCGCTCAGAACTCTTTATGGTTTTATTTAAAAGATCAAGTTCCGTCACAAGAAGTACTCATCTCATTGAGCTCTTTCGTTTGGTATAATACAGTTGGGGTTTGAATCAGAAAAATTTTATAGGATTGATATCAAGACACACATGTGCGTCGCCCGGACCCAAAGGGTTAATGACCACATTTTAACTATCTTTCGTAATGCAACAAAAAAATGCAACTCGATTTCAGCATACGAAGGTCAGATCTGTACTGTAACGGAGATACTTTTTAACGCTTTTGTAAAACTAGTGCAGCAGCAAATCGACAATGCTCTGGAAGATCTGTAGAAATTATACGAGATGAACTCAACGAAACTTATGTGGTTTGCGAAAATAAGTCACTATTCAATGTTCCGACTGTTGTCACAGACTACTTCATTCCATAAACAACGGTACACCGAATTATGACTGAATATATTTCAATAAAACCAGCGAAGGTATAATTTGTCCAAGATTTCACGAAAAAGATTCACATCATGGAGTTGAAGTTACATAAACTAAATGCTAATGTTAAAGAACATCAACCATCAGGAGAATTTGCTTTTTATTTTAAATCGTTTATCGATAAATATATAGTGAAAAACAATGTCTATACGACATATACAAAGACATAATCAAATTCAAAACCAGAATCAACAACGGAAAAGATAGTAATTCGAAAATACATCTTCTGTAATGTTTTTGTCAAATATGTCGAAAGTGATTGTTTTTGTGTATTTCAGTTGAAGATGATTATTTTCAATATTTACTGTATGTTAAATTATATGAAATAAAACTTTACAGAATATAATTGTTACACTATAAAAAAAAAGATAATTAAATTGCTTGAATTGTATGAGAGATATTTACATAAACTTTTGGAACACTTTTATATATATATAGGTGTTTTGCAAAAAACTTGCACAAAATTAGTTTCTTTTTTAAAAGCTTTTTCTCTACTATTATAAACGATTATAAAAGTCACTTTTTGAGGGATAAATCCTTGACAGATAGACTACATGCTATATATCCCATGGGCAAAATAAGTCGTACACTTTATTTTTTCGACTATGTTTTTGCACCATTGTCGTTTGAAGTCATATTTACAACACAGATAGGTCTTTGATGACTTGATGTACTCTGAAAATTTCAGCCCTATAGAATGAGAATTTGTTGATAAAAGTACAAATATGTCTCATGCACTCCAGTAGCAGTGTAAAGGAAATTTGCTATTTTCTTGCTGAATTTGGTTTTTTTTCTATATTCAACATTATCAAACTTCGATGCTTGTATTAGGCTTTCCCAACTTCGCTTGCACTGTTACTGGCTTTTTAGATAGATTCCTGCGCCAAACTCTTAGGGAAGATGTATAGAAGTGAATTCATTCATTGAAGATTGATGTTATTGAAAATTAAAAAAACAAAATTCAGCAAGAAAATAGCAAATTTCCTTTACACTGCTACATGAGTGCAGGAGACATATTTGTACTTTTATCAACAAATTCTCATTCTATACGGCTGAAGTTTTCAGAGTATGTCAAGTCATTAAAGATCTATCTGTGCTGTAAATATGACATCGAATGACAATGGTAGAGAGGAATACTCGATAAAATACGGTGTACCACTTATTTTGATCAGGAGGATACATAGAAGTGTGATTTCGTTCCTTTCCAATAGCGAAACAAAAGAAAATTTATCGAAAATGTACCACAGCTAATAGACTGACCATTTAACAGTCCGGATGCAAATCTGATCGAGAACAGATGGTCGATAGTGAAACGCAATGTAGAGTGTGGGTGTGGGTGTGGGTGTGGGTGTGGGTGGGTGTGGGTGTGCGTGTGGTGTGTGGGTGGGGTGTGGGGTGTGGGTGTGGATGTGGATGTGGACGTGAATCTTTTATCTAACTACACCCACACCCACATCCACACCCTTTTTTGTTGTATATGTTTTTCATATATACTTCTACTGTTATTTTGGATTTTTGTTTAAAAAACTCCATGTATTGGGATATATGTTTTTGCACGTAGGCTAGTTCTTTTCTATTCAGCGCATGGTTCTCCAAAGACAATTACTACGTAGTTCATTAATCGTCATTTAGCTGTGTATTAAACATAGCTTTGATACAACAGAAACATCAAGTCAAAGAATGTCCACTACAGTCATTGGACAACATAATCAAAACTTATGACCATAATAATCAGCAACATCTTGGTCTATTTATCATACTAAAAATTTCATGTCAAGGATAGAACTGAATTGAAATGTCATAAAGCAATTAATAGGCTTGCCTAATACAAGAGTATACTTGGCAAATAATGAACTAGAGCCGATATCCTATTTAAATAAAAAGTTTGATCATCAAATGGTCTTATCAGTAAAATTTTACACCCCTCTTTTTTGGATGGTATTATTCTTTCAATGGATAAATATATAAGACATGAAATTAAAATAAAAGTTAGCGAATGTATTATCTGTAGTGACGATTCAAAAGTCTGTTACCATCGACAAATAATATTTACTAGAACAGACGACATGGATTGATTCTTTTTCTTTTCAAAAAAAATATTTGTCAATCATAAATGTCTTTCGTTTTTGTTTCTATTAAGTGTAGCATAATAGTTTTCTTCAAAATTCATCAGTGACTGATCTTTTTGCTATTTTTTCCGATTATTTGTTTATTTTTCTAGTTCTCCTATTATTAAATATTCAGTGCTACTATATTTTAATTTTTTTACACAAAATATTTTCTTCTTGTTTGACAAATAAACGTATTTTATACAATTTAAGTTAAGTTCTTGAGATGATGAAAAGTGGAGCTATTATTTCTAAAAGACAGTGATATATTTTCCAAATTATAAAAGCTTAGCTCAATTGTGTACATAATTTGTTCCTAAAATCTTACATAGCCACATCCTACAATCATCGATAGCGAAACGTTGAATTCGCTGATTCCAATAATCAACCACATAAAGATTGCCATATCGATCGAAGGACAAACTCCTGGGACAGTAAAATTGATTTGCCTCTGCGCCTCTCCCGTTTCCACCCACAACGATAGTACCGTATTTTGCGCCTTTAGACCAACGCATCACTCGATCATTTTTCGAGTCTGCTACATAGACGGTACCCAATGCATCAACGAACAGTCCATAAGGAAACGATAATTGTCTCAAAGAATTTCCTTTGCCACGACCACCAGCAACAGTAATTCCTTTTTTCGCATATTTTCTCCATTTTACCACGCGGTGATTGCCACTATCTGACACATAAATAGATTGCTGTTTATCAATAAAAAGATATCTTGGTTTGTTTAGTTGATGTAGACCACTGCCTTTGCCGTTGCCACCTGCAACGATGGTCCCATTTTGATCTCCTATTCGATATCGTTTTACTACATGTTTTCTGTAGTCAGCAACGTAAAGTAATCCCTGATCATCCATAGCCAATCCTCGACAAGCGACATCATTGACAAGAATTTCTGTTTTAGTAATACCGTGATGACAAGATTGTCGTATCACTCGTCGATTCCCTCGATCACAAATAATGAGACTATTTGTAGTTTTATCCATTAAAACATTGGTAGGACCACTTAATTGATTCAATCGACTCCCTGTACAATTGCCACCGGCTATAACTTCTGTATTCTTACTACTAATGTTGCAACGAACAACACGCTCATTAGCCCAATCAGTAAAGATTATCGTTCCATCATCATGAACAAATAAGTCTACAGGCCAATAGATTTGATCGATGTCGTTACGTTCTCTAGCATCTCCGACGATGGTCACTCCATTTTGTTCCCATTTAGCACGAACTGAAATGTTGTGAATTACTAAAATAAATGAAAAAGCAAAATAGATAGATAGTGTCGAAAACATCATTCTTCTTCATCTTCGACATTCTGAGGAAGGAAGGCTTATCTAAATATATAAAGATAAAGAAGATCTTACTGAGAAGCTTTCACATTTACTGTGTAAGATAATCTTATTTTTTCTCTAAAAACATTGATAATTACCTGTATTATTTGCAACAAGAGAATTTGATTGTTGTGGTGGAAGACGTTGAGAAGATGATTGACGTAGAATGGGTAAACGTTTTAAAATTTCATATTCTTCAAGAGCTGTACTTATATGAAAATAATGCATAGGAAAAGAAAAAGATAAGAGAATGAAGAATCTACCTTGACGTCGTTCTTCAGGACTAAGATTCTCATCAATCTTATTTTCTAATAAAGAATCATGAGAATGATATGAATATATCCAACGTCTATGTTCATTTAAAAGGTCAAATAAAAGACGATCCTCCGGCTCTGGAGGATTTAGATCAGTATTTGACTCTGTTGAATATGTTAATGTCGATTGAGTCGCTTCTGGTAATTCTTCTAATTGAAAATCATATAATTCTTTTATATCCTCCCAAGTAAAATGTCGATCTATTTGATGACCATCAATCACACTAGAACATAACAAGAAAAAATCGTATGAATTTTTTTATATTTGGACTTAATCTGTACCGTTTTGAAAGTGATTGTTTAACAACTTGTCGTTGATAAATCTTTTCTTCCATTGTACCGTGAGATACAAATCGATAGACATAAACTGGTTTCTTCTGACCGAAACGATATGAACGAAATAATGCTTGAGCATCGTTACTAAAATAAAAGAAACTTTATCAATTCAAAATCGAATTGAATCTAAGCGATTAGTATACGAAATCTCACAAGAGACTTCTTTTTCAAATTAAGAATTCTATGATGATATTCACCATGGATTCCAACTTGCATCGAAAACAATAATTCGATTACTAGCAGTTAAATTAATTCCAATACCACCAGCTGCTGTTGATATAAGAAATAATCGAACACGTGAATTCGATGGATCATTAAATGTTTCTATATAACTTTTTCTTAATATAATTTTTGTTTTACCATCGATTCTGAAATAGTCTTTTTCAGAAATCCATTGTACTGGTGTAGGTATGCTGCGATTATTTTTTTCTGATAAAAGAGTTTGATATTGTTTTTCATTTTGAATGTGTAAATGCTTTAGAAACTTTTCAATATAATCCAATGAATATAAACTACGTGAAAATACAAGAAGTTTATCGCCGATTTCAGCGCATTTATCAATAATTGATTTTAATAATATAATTTTTCCACCTAATTCTATATCAAATTCACTTTGATTGGGTAAACTATCTAAGTAACGAAACCAAAATTGCTTGCGCATTTCATATAACCATGGTTTAATAGAATTTTCTTTTTCAGTATCATTATAAGTTATTCCTTCTGGAGAATTTTTATTATTTTCTATATTAGTTTTGCTTGAATCAACAGTTGTTGATGATGATCGGTTTTGCATTGAATAATCGTTACCTATATCAATATATTCATCAGTATCATTTGATGTTGAATCAGAATTAATTGTTTCTGACGACGAAGTGGAAGTTCTATGTTTTCTTGTTTCTGATATCAGGAATTTATATTCATCCACTTCCTTTCGAATATGGTTCATTGAAAACTCATTCAATTTATTTTCCAATGGTGACTATAACCAATCAAAACAGCTCAGAGTATAAAATGCTTATTAATTATTTTAAAGGTTAAAGTCTATTTGAATTGGATAAGGTAGATTAATGATCTCTGAGATACTGATTATTTGAATGCTATGAGATTATGTAACTAATGATGAAATATGAATAAAGCCATCGACACATTAGAAGACCCTGAGTCTTATACTATATCCCCAAAATGAGCAATATTTCTTTCTGTCTTCATGACTCTGAATATTTCAAGCCTTTACTTTTTATGTTTATCTTATTTATTTCAGTTTCACATGAATAAAACAAGCAAAAGCATTATCTTATATAAGACTAATAAGATTTAGAAAAATAAAACCATCATTCACCTGTTAATGTCATGAATTTCGATATCAGAATGGATGGAACTATCATCTGAATTCGAGTTCTGATCATCAACATTTAATGATGGTTAATTATATTTGGTAATTAGATCATTATTCAAATGAGCAAGAAAATATAAAAACTTTTAATTGCATCTACTCTGAATTAATACGTAAATCTGCTTTGATTTACCTTATTTTCTTCATCATCACTAAAAACAGTTTCTAGTTCATTATCATCAATAAACATATCTTCTAATTCATTGTCATTAGTTAAACAATCATTATTATCCTTGAGTCCTTTTTTCCAGCGGTTAATAAAATATGGATAGAGTAAAAATGGATGTCTAAAAATAAAATGCTCATATTATTAGTTCTTTCAATGTATTCATTTCCTACGTCCATATTTTTTGCAAATATTGATAATCAGCAAATAATTTTGCTGATTTAAAATCGTTCTTTAATACAGGTGAACGTTGTTTTTGAGGAACTTTTACTTGTAAGTATAGATAATATAATGTTGATTGTAAATTACTTAATCGTATATTAATGATATATTCAAATTTCGGTGGTAAATATTCTTTCAGTAATAAGTGATCTTTTCGATCAACGAAACCAGTTAAAAGATCATGCAAAACATAAGCACGTTTTTTCATTAAATAAACATCTTGCTCATTTGAACTACTATATTGACCATTTTCAATTGGATTAACGAAACGATTTATATATTCAGCTTGATCACCAAGTAAATTTGGTTTAATAAATGATACCATACAATAACTAATGAGAATACAAAAAGAAAAACTCGATTTTTTTTGAAACTTACTATTCAAGAAGATTATTTTGTAATGGTGTTCCAGTTAAAACAATACGACGAGATGTTTTGATCTCTGATAAACAATTTGCAATAGATGTTTGAGCATTTTTTAAAATATGACCTTCATCAGCAACTAAATATGAAAATTCAAATGAAATATCTTTCAAAAACAATGATGTTTATATTACCAACAATATCCGGTCCTGGATTAAAAAGACAATGATATGCATCATTTTGAATTTTTTTATTTTCGATTCCAACACCTTTTACTAATCGCACATACATCTGATAACCCATAATAAGAACTCCACCATTTTCATACCACTTATTTAGATACTCAACACGTAAATCAGGCTGAACTGTTGTTAATTGATAATGATTAATCGATGGTTCAATATCTTTTAACCAAAAGTTAAATTCATTTGACCAATTTAGAGCTATAAAAAAAATGAAATAGAATCATTTTTTTCGAAAATCAATATTTAGAATACTTGCCAGCATTTACTGGAGAAAGAACGAGACATGTTTTTACTTTAGTTATATGACTGTAATTAAAAACAGTATGAATAAAACAAATAACTTGTAATGTTTTTCCTAAACCCATACAATGAGCTAAAATACAACCATTTGTATTTTGTTGTTTAGTTTTTATTGCATAAATTGATTCATAGACATTATTCCATAGAAATTTTATTCCATCATATTGATGTTTTTTTAGATGTGCAACTAATTTTGGTGAAACTTCAATAATAGATTTATTTGTTTTTTTATCGAATTCGAGTATTAAACGAAGATTTGACTTTTCTGAATTATAAATTTTACTATTTGGTATAAAAGATGATTGTCTAAGTAGAATATTATTGTGTAATTTTTGTATTTTAGCTAAACGTTTTCGACGTTGGTGTTCATCTTCAATAGCATATTTTGTTTTTACATTTAAATCTTTATCATGAATTATTTTCCGAATATTTTTTCGACCAATTTTTCGTTTAATTAGAGAGTCTTTTTCCTTATTTTTAGTTCTATTTTTTCTTTTGGTTTGACTAGATGTTGCATTATTTTTGTCTTTCTTTTCAAGTTTCGACTTTTTTGAATGTTTTATTACAATTGCATTATTTTTGTTTAGCTCCTCGGATGATGACGATGACAATAATCTTCGAATTCGGATTTGGTTTGATGAATGTTTTGGGTATATAGTAAATGAATTTTTAGAAATTGTTGATTTCTAAAATTTAATAAAAGCAGTGAAGTTTTGAACTTGTCGCAAACATGTTATTCTCGGTAAAATAAGAAAAAAAAAGTATAAATGAACTCATTCGGAATAGGTTTTATCTTTTTGAGTAACGAAAGAAAAATAAAATCATACATACCATTTCATTATTATTGTCGTTATCATCACTAGATAATGAAAGAACGCATCGTTGTTTAATTTTAAATTTTGATTTCGTATTCATTATTGATGTATCAGAGTCGGATGATGATCCCGTCGGACGATGGTCATCAGTGAACTGATTTTTTTCGTTGGAAGATGATTTTGAACGCGATAAAGTCTCAGTCGATTGTCTACATGAAAAAGAAATTTCATCGTTCACAAGAGAAAAAATTACTACGTTTTCTCATACGATTTGTCTATTAAAGTTTGTCGAGCATTTGTCAGATCAGTAGAATCTATTGACTGTGATAAGTATGTATTCATTATCAAATCTGAATAAGAAAAACAATAACACGCACCATCGTTTAAAATATTTAAAAAAAAATAATATTATGCATCTAGAGATTTTTTTTCTTTTCTACCGTTTCGTATCTATAGCGTTCGAGTTTCGATGTTGAGTACTGTTTTTTATTCAAAAAGTTTACACAAATGCAGAACACATGACAGATGATTTTAGTAATTGATTACTTCGAATCTTTTACATTGATATGCTAAATTTGATTGTCTTGATCATGATATAATAGTCATATTCTAAATGCTTTCTTTAGTTATGCTATGCAAATAGATTCATAGGATAAATAGGGTATGGTTGTAATGCTGTTAACGATAGTACTTACGTCTATCGAAACGAATGCATCTATGGGCGAGTTTTGATTATTGATAATCTTTGAAAATATGAATTCTAATTATTGTTTGCATCAGAATTTGGATGTTTGAATGATTAGCCAAAATATTTTACATGAACTGCTGAAAAACTTCCTTGGATTTTTCCAACTAACATTCTTTTTTCCGAATGACGTTCGTGTTTGTTCTTTTGCGTTCTTGCATATTTGTTTTTTTCTTTATTACAAGCCATAAATACTAAAGCAACAGCGCATTTTTACTTTTGTAAACAAAATTGTAAATTCGAAGGAAAGAAAGGACAAGAAAAGAAGAATGTGTGGGTGGTAGTACGTATCGAAGAAACTGCGTAGAATGACTTATTCGATGAAAAAGAAGGCATTTGTCATATGTAATTTTATGATCGAATTGCTTACTTGACCAATGAAAGTAATATTTATTAAATAATCAATGAGAAATGTATGTTGTAAGAATATAAGCTTTTTCTGTTTCTAGATAATAGAATTCAATGATTAACTTCATCCCACTTCCTTTTTATTAATTATTCGTTAGACTTCTTTGTATATATGTCTGACACTGTATTGTATAGCTGTTTTTTTTCGAAATTACAATCATGAATCATGTTTTCTTGTTTGTAAAAATCTAAAGACTCCTATGACATAATAATTGGTTGACATCTTTCGTTGTATCTCTGTCATTTTCTTTTATTTAATACAATAGAATATGCTGTAAAGACGTCATGTGGTTCTGTTTTTGAACAGAAAGCTTACACTATGTTTAGCAAAATTAAATCATATTCGTTGCGTCAAGATTATCACAAATAACAAAGAGCGAATCTATGAATGCAATGCATTAATATATCAATAAATTACTATATCTTGTTGTAACATAGAATTGTAAAATTTCTTTTTTTATGCAATTTAAATACAAGGTTTTTAGTTGTTAGCTGGAAAAAATTCGTTGAAATAGTTAGTATATAACCTTGAAATAAAACGAAGAAAATATCTTATGGTGATATTTTAAATATTATTCTCATTCTTTCGAACAAATGATAATAAAGTATCATATTAATTTTAATAAAATTACTATTTTGTGTTGTAAAAGACAATCAAACCTAATCATGTGTCATATTAGTAAATTGAACTATTATTAATTGCAAAATTGTGAATACTATGAAGATAATACTGTTTGAATTACTAATAGTTAATCACAAAAGAAAAAAAAACAAAAAGCACGTATACAACAAAGAGAAACATTACTCCTAAAGTCAATTTCATAGTTAAATAAAGACGAGTATGTTTTCAATAACTTTAAAATAAAAAGAGAAAAATAACATAAGTTTACAAGATGAATTAGAATCGAAATTCCCACAGTACAGCATTAGTTCTAAAGATAACTTTAAGAAATCCAAGATTGATAAACATTTCGATTTTAAAGTTGTAAAGAATGTTTTTTTTTTTATTTTATTAAAAACGCCATCGGAATAGAAGAATTTTAAAAAATTTTACAACAATACATCAAAGTTTTCATGTGATTGATTCATTCGCCTCTAGAAAAAGTTTTATTTATTAAAATCTATTAAACAGATAGTAAGGGATATGATTTACATCCAATGAAAGCAACCAGCTACACATCTAGCGTATTGTTGAACAATAGGAGAGAAAATTTCAAAGAGTAGACAATTATGTCAAAAAAAAATTGCGTAGACTCAATAAAAAGATTCAGTAATCTCGATTCTTAATCGTACTGAGAACCTATGTCGTTCATCTCTTTTCATTTCAAAACTATTCAAAAAAAAACAAATACTCATGTCCATTGAATTCTGAAATTGATATTAGTGCAAATTCCATTTTATTTTATCTTGTTCAATTTCTTCAATTATGAGTTAAATAAAAAACTGTCTGCACAATAATTGTCGACAATCATGAAAAAAATTCAAGAGACGTATATGTGCAGAAAACTAATAACCAATTATACAAAAAAAGTGACTTTTTATTATCATATCTTCTTATAATGGTTTGATTTATGTTCAATATTGTGCAATTATTATTTCTATGATATTAAAGTTCTTCATATACTACTAATGTGATTTGAAGATGAAGTATTTTGATCACAGAAATCTCTTCATTGGTTTTCAATACTCTACAATAGGTTACGCGATCAATCCAACTTTTTTTCCCTTTTACTACCATTTTAAATATAGGAACCATCCTAACACTCTTTTATAGAACTGACGTATATTTTCCGAAGAAAATAAAGATTTTAAATTCTATACAATATTGTAATGTATTCATTAATATTTGAAAAAAAAATTGTTTTTCAGTTTATCAATATTTTAATTTGTATGCTAAAAATCAAGAAAAAAATGGTCATCATTGGTATTGATCTGTCATACCCATGACATAATGAATATAAGAAACATAATTCAATAAAGAAAATTCAAAGAAAAAAATGATTATTATCGAGTATATAGCAACAATAGTAAAAAAAACCGACTACGCTCAACTGACAAAGAGAAATTCAGTTTTTTATGTACTGGTAAATGATAAATGTTTTTGTTCTCGTTAATGATTATTTATAAAAATGAATTTAGTCGACTTACAGATAAGGAATTAGGATAACAAAATTGAAAGGATATGTCACGAATCGATATTCTTGCCTCTATTCTTTCCAGATTCTTTAATTGCAGGAAAATCTGTCAAGATTCTTGTCTGACTTATAAGATCTTGTCAACCAGACAAGAATCGTGTAGACAGAACCTTGGCTGGAGAGACAAGAAATTTACAATCTGGAAAGAATCCTGAACTTCTTGGAATTCAAGTCTGATTCTTTTTATCATAGTCTGTAATCGATTTCTTGGATGATCATAAAGATTCTTGCACTATTATCTTTTAATCAGTATC